ACATGATTGTTCATATCGCAGGTGGACACCATTGACACAACAACATGATTTTTCATATCGCAGGTGGACACCATTGACACAACAACATGATTGTTCATATCGCAGTTGGACACCATTGACAAAAACATGCTTGTTAATATCACATCTAAACACCACTGACATAACAACATGATTGTTCTTATCGGAGGTGGACACCATTGACACAACAGGATGATTGTTCATATCGCATCTAGACACCATTGACATAACAACATGGTTGTTCATATCGCAGGTGGACACCATTGACACAACAACATGATGATTGTTCATATCGCATATAGACACCACTGACATAACAACATGGTTGTACATATCGCAGGTGGACACCATTGACACAACAACATGGTTGTTCATATCGCAGGTGGACACCATTGACACAACAACATGATTGTTAATATCGCATCTAGACACCACTGACATAACAACATGGATGTAAATATCGGAGGTGGACACCAATGACTCAACAACATGTTTGTTCATATTCCATCTAGACACCACTGACATAACAAAATGGATGTACATGTCACAGGTGGGCACCATTGACACAACATCATTGTTCATATCACAGGTGGACACCATTGACACAACAACATGCTGGTTCATATCGCATCTAGACACCACTGACATAACAACATGGATGTAAATATCGCCTCTAGACACCATTGACATAACAACATGATTGTTCATATGGCAGATGGACACCATTGACACAACAACATGATTGTTCATATCGCAGGTGGACACCATTGACACATCAACATGATTGTTCATATCGCAGGTGGACACCACTGACACAACAACATGATTGTTCTTATCGCAGGTGGACACCATGACATAACAACATGGATGTACATATCGCAGGTGGCCACCATTGACACAAAAAACATGATTGTTCATATCGCAGGTGGACACCATTGACACAACAACATGGTAGTTCATATCCCAGGTGGACACCACTGACACAACAACATGATTGTTCATAACGCAGGTGAACACCATTGACACAACGACATTATAGTTCATATCGCAGGTGGACACCATGACATAACAACATGATTGTTCATATCGCAGGTGGACACCATGACATAACAACATGGATGTACATATCGGAGGTGGACACCATTAACAAAACAACATTATGGTTCATATCGCAGGTGGACACCATGACAGAACAACATGATTGTTCATATCGCAGGTGGACACCATGACATAACAACATGGATGTACATATCGGAGGTGGACACCATTACAAAACAACATTATTGTTCATATCGCAGGTGGACACCATGACAGAACAACATGATTGTTCATATCGCAGGTGGACATCATGACACAACAACATGATTGTTTATATGGCAGGTGTACACCATTGACACAATAACATGATTGTTCATATCGCAGCTGGACACCACTGACATAACAACATGATTGTTCAACTGGCAGTTGGACACCATTGACACAACAACATGATTGTTCATATCGCAGGTGGACACCATTGAGATAGGAACATGGTTGTCCATATTGCTTCTAGGCACCACTGACATAACAACATGATTGTTCACATCGCAGATGGACACCATTGACGCAACATCATAGTTGTTGATATCGCAGGTGGACACCATTAACACGAGAACATGATTGTTCATATCGCAGGTGGACACCATGAGATAATAACATGGATGTACACATCGAAGGTGGACACCTTTGACACAACAACATGATTGTTCATATCGCAGGTGGACACCATTGACACAACAACATGATTGTTCATATCACAGGTGGACACCATTGACACAACAACATGATTTTTCATAGCGCGATGGACACCATTGACACAACAACATGATTGTTCATACCGCAGGTGGACACCATTGACACAAGAACGTGGATGTTCATATAGCATCTAGACACCATTGACATAACAACATTGATGTAAATATCGCATCTAGACACCATTGACATAACAACATGGTTGTTCATATCGCAGGTGGACACCATTGACACAACAACATGCTGGTTAATATCGCATCTAGACACCACTGACATAACAACATGGATGTAAATATCGCCTCTAGACACCATTGACATGACAACATGATTGTTCATATCGCAGATGGACACTATTGACACAACAGCCTGATTTTCCATATTGCAGTTGGACACAATTGACACAACAACCTGATTGGCCATATCGCAGTTGGACACCATTGACAAAAAAACATGCTTGTTAATATCACATCTAAACACCACTGACATAACAACATGGATGTACTTATCGGAGGTGGACACCATTGACACAACAGGATGATTGTTCATATCGCATCTAGACACCATTGACATAACAACATGGTTGTTCATATCGCAGGTGGACACCATTGACACAACAACATGATTGTTCATATCGCATATAGACACCACTGACATAACAACATGGTTGTTCATATCGCAGGTTGAGTCCATTGACATCACAACATTGTTGTTCATATCGGAGGTGGACACCATTGACACAACAACATGATTGTTAATATCGCATCTAGACACCACTGACATAACAACATGGATGTAAATATCGGAGGTGGACACCAATGACTCAACAACATGTTTGTTCATATTCCATCTAGACACCACTGACATAACAAAATGGATGTACATGTCACAGGTGGGCACCATTGACACAACATCATTGTTCATATCACAGGTGGACACCATTGACACAACAACATGCTGGTTCATATCGCATCTAGACACCACTGACATAACAACATGGATGTAAATATCGCCTCTAGACACCATTGACATGACAACATGATTGTTCATATCGCAGATGGACACTATTGACACAACAGCCTGATTTTTCATATTGCAGTTGGACACAATTGACACAACAACCTGATTGGCCATATCGCAGTTGGACACCATTGACAAAAAAACATGCTTGTTAATATCACATCTAAACACCACTGACATAACAACATGGATGTACTTATCGGAGGTGGACACCATTGACACAACAGGATGATTGTTCATATCGCATCTAGACACCATTGACATAACAACATGGTTGTTCATATCGCAGGTGGACACCATTGACACAACAACATGATTGTTCATATCGCATATAGACACCACTGACATAACAACATGGTTGTTCATATCGCAGGTTGAGTCCATTGACATCACAACATTGTTGTTCATATCGGAGGTGGACACCATTGACACAACAACATGATTGTTAATATCGCATCTAGACACCACTGACATAACAACATGGATGTAAATATCGGAGGTGGACACCAATGACTCAACAACATGTTTGTTCATATTCCATCTAGACACCACTGACATAACAAAATGGATGTACATGTCACAGGTGGGCACCATTGACACAACATCATTGTTCATATCACAGGTGGACACCATTGACTCAACAACATGTTTGTTCATATTCCATCTAGACACCACTGACATAACAAAATGGATGTACATGTCACAGGTGGGCACCATTGACACAACATGATTGTTCATATCGCAGGTGGACACCAATGACACAACAACATGTTTGTTCATATTCCATCTAGACTCCACTGACATAACAAAATGGATGTATATGTCACAGGTGGACACCATTTACACAACAACATGGTTGTTCAAAGAGCAGGTGGACACCACTGACACAACAACATGATTGTTCATATCGCACCTAGACACCACTGACATAACAACATGATTGTTCTCATCGCAGGTGGACATCATTGACATAACAACATGATTGTTAATATCGTTGATGGACATCATTGACACAACAGCTTGATTGTACATATCGCATCTAGACACCATTGACACAACAACATGGTTGTTCATATCGCAGGTGGACACCATTGACATAACATCATGGTTGTTCATATCGCAGGTGGACACCATTGACATAACAACATGATTGTTCATATCGCAGATGGACAGCATTGACACAACAACCTGATTGTTCATATTGTCTTTGGACACAATTGACACAACAACCTTATTGTCCATATCGCAGTTAGACACCATTGACACAACAACATGATTTTTAATATCGCATCTAGACACCACTGACATAACAACATGGATGTACATATCGGAGGTGGACACCATTGACACAACATGATTGTTCATATCGCAGGTGGACACCAATGACACAACAACATGTTTGTTCATATGCCATCTAGACACCACTGATATAACAAAATGGATGTACATGTCACAGGTGGACGCCATTGACACAACAACATAATTGTTCATAAAGCATCTAGACACCACTGACACAACAACATGATTGTTCAAAGCGCAGGTGGACACCATTGACACAACAACATGATTGTTCATATCGCAGATGGACACCAGTGACACAACAACATGATTCTTCATATCGCAGATGGACACCATTGACACAACAACATAATTGTTCATAACGCATCTAGACACCATTGACACAACAACATGGTTGTTCATATCGCATCTAGACACCATTGACACAACGACATGATTATTGATATCGAAGGTGGACACCACTGACACAACAACATGATTGTTCATAGCGCAGGTGGACACCATTGACACAACAACATGATTGTTCATATCGCAGTTGGACACAATTGACACAACAACATGATTGTTCATATCGCAGGTGGACACCTTTGACATAAAAACATGATTGTTCATAACGCAGATTGACACCATTCATATAACAAAATGCTTCATTCAAATCAGGGCACGTCATATACTAACCCGCAGATTCATTTGTGAAGGTTATGTCAGTTAAGACGAATTATATACTAATTATTGACAAAGGTGACTTTCATATCCTCGATAATCTCCAGGGTATACGTTCCGATAACTCTCCACTATAGTTGAGGGTGAGACTTTCATGACCTTTAGGAAAACTAGAGAATCGATGATCTAACCGTGAACACATGAACACATACCTGTGACTATCCCAGCCAGGACGATGACAGCAGCATACAGCGTTAGCTTCATGATTGCAGTCTGAATACAAACCCATGTGGTTGTGGTTATATATACACTCTCTTCACGGGTGTGTCACGTGTTAGTTGTTTAAGAATTCTTCTTTCCAAATTGTTTTCAAGTGTTTAATGCACATTAAGAGTTTGTAGATATTTGCCCAGCCAAAAAGTGCTGAATATACATATAGATAAAGTATATAATCCTAAACAACAGGGTTGACGTTTCTGAATTTATCTTTGTACTCTCAATGCTCCTGTAAACACGAGATGAACAAATGAGTAGCTCGTGTTGATATACAAGAGGTTGCTGACACGTTCTGAGCCTCCATAGTTATAGGGCCTGGTGACAAGATATTGTATAAGGTATTCCTTTCAAGCTCCGCACACGTTTGTCGTTGATGGTTGGTCATTATGGCTCGGGGATCGGGGTTTCAAGTGTTCAAAAGTTAAACGTATTTGCGTTGCTCGGGTAAATTAATCCGATGTATCCCTTGTATTCCAGGTACCACTCAGTGAAGCAATACTTCCCCGCAAGGTTACTACATGGAACAAAATGAGCTGCCTGCCAAACGTCAATCTGGTATCGTCGATATTGATCAAGACTGATCTATGTGATCCCATATCAATGTTAATCTATGTGATCCCATATCGATGGTGATCTATGTAATCCCATCTCGATTGTGATCTATATGATCCCATATAGAGACTGATCTATGTGATTCCATATAGATGCTGATCTATATGATCCTATATCAATGTTGATCTATGTGATTCCATATCGATGCTGATCTATGTGATCCCATATCGATGCTGATCTGCGGTGTATCACAGTCGACTTGTGTGTAGCTTGATGGTTGTTTAGAAACCATCTCTTGAAATGGTTCTTTAAGAAACAACCACGTTGTTATGTGTCCACGTTGACGTCTTTACCGACGGAGGCACAGCGGTCGGATGACCGGCGCGAAACACGTTCTGCACGTGCGTTCGTCAAGATTCGACCTGGTTTCTGGCATTTGCGAGTGTAGATTCAAAATGTCGCGTCAGAGGATAAAGAGTCTTGTACTTCTGCAGAAACAGAACTGTTGGCGACAAAATGCAAAATAGCCATAAACTGGTAGTGATCGCAACAGGTCCAGTTCCTTTAACACTAACAAAATCTAACAGTTTGCTCAGTACTGCTCGACAGAGAGGAAAAGCTGAAGTTGTTCTTCTTGCCATACAGCCAGTGTTTCTTAACTCCTGCAGAGCCATTGTTCCTTGTCCGACATGTCGGAACAAGACATAGCAGCAGAATTGAAAGTTCAAGGAGTGTCTTCGGTGAAACGTTTCACCAGAAAAAGGTCAGATTCAACCATTGAACAAACAAATACCTACTTGTTCACTTTTGCGCGGTCCACAATACCACAGTCAATCAAAGCTGGTTATGTCAACATCGGAGTGGAGGTGTATGTCCCCAATCCACTCCGGTGCTTTAGATGTCAGAAGTTTGGCCGTGGCTCCAAGAACTGCACTCGTGATACGGTTTGCCAACGCTGCGGTGACAATCATGAGAATCCTGATTGCCAACAAGCACTCAAATGTGTAAACTGTGATGGCCAACATTTGGCATCCTCAAAACTAGGTCCTGTTTGGCAAACAGAATAAAAAATCCTTAAACTTAAGTATGAACAAAACATTTCCTTTGGAGAGGCTAAAAAACTGATAACTCAATCAGCTACTCCATCAACACTAAACTTTTCCGCTGCTGTCACACGGTCAAATCAGATTTCATCTACATCATGTCAAACAGAGTTGACATGGGTCAAATCTGTTCGCCCCATGCCAACTACACCAGTCATCGAGCAAGATCCAACTGACAGTCAAACATCTCAGGCACCTTCAACATCCCAGGCAGAGAGTCAGACGCCGTCACAACAAATCCCACAACAAGCAGCAGCTACTAATATAACAAAACGTGAAAAAAGGATGTTAAACAGGAAACAATCGTCCAGGAATTCCTCTCAGTCAGAGGTGCCTGTCCAGAACACCTACAGTGCTCTAGACATGGTCATAACTCCATCATCACAGAGTTCTGTGAGGAGTTCTTCTCCATCACGTCCGCGTGAGAGATTACCCACTGAACCACCATGAGTCACTTATCAAATATAATTCAATGGAATTGCAGAGAACTAAATAATTTTAATGAAATACAATTGTTAATCCAGGATTTTAAACCGTCAGCATTCTGTCTACAAGAAACGAATCTCAAACATACTGATACATTTGAGTTAAGGCAGTACAAGTGTCATCACTCATTTTCTCCTCCAGGAGATAAAGCAACTGGAGGTGCTACTATACTAGTCAGAAATAATATCATTCATAGTGACGTTCACCTGAAAACTAATCTTCAAGCTGTAGCTATTCGCCTTACTTTGCAAATTGCATTTACCCTATGCTCACTGTACATTCCACCTTCATCTGCTCTTCGACAATCTGATCTTCAGAATCTATATGAACAACTACCTAAGCCCTGTATTATCATGGGCGATCTGAACGGGCACAACCCTCTGTGGGGCAGTACAAGTACAAGCAATAAAGGTAAGTAAGGTAATTGAAGATTATATTTCTGATAATAATTTATGTGTGTTTAATGATGAATCGAGCACCTATTTGCACCCTGCTACAGGAACCTATTCTTCACTTGATCTGTCCCTCGCAGATGCTAATGTTTACAACGAGTTTGAATGGTCTGTTCATGATGACCTTTGTGGAAGCGATCACTTCCCTACAGTCCTGAAAGCGATCCACCTTCATCACGGTGGAATTTCTCCAAGGCCAACTGGTCCTTATTTGAAATAATGCGTGTGGACAAAATAATACCGGACAACTTTAATAATGTATCAGATCCAATACAGCTGTTTTCCGCTGAACTGAATGAAATTGCTGACCAAACAATTCCTAAGTCCTCTGCAAATCCTCACATTGGTAAACCATGGTTTAACAATGAATGCAAACAAGCCAGGAAATGTAGGAAGAAGGCAGAAAATATTTTCGCCGACATCCTACTGTTCATAATTTGAACAATGTTAACATTACCAGTGCCCAGGCACGACGGGCATATAAGCAAAACAAGCGCCAATCTTGGAGAAACTATGTCTCCAAAATTAATTCTGTCTAAGGTGTGGAACATGGTTCAGAGAATAAAAGGCAAAGGCTCCAAATCTGCTGTTCATCATCTTAAAGATGGTGACAATTTAATAACTGACAAATGCAACATTGCAAATAAAATTGGCGAAACTCTTGCCAAAACTTCATCATCGGCAAATTATGTCCCTGAGTTTCAGAGATATCAGAAACAACAGGAAAAGACAAAACTTAATTTCGAATCAAACAACGGTGAGGATTATAATGAAGTGTTTTCATTACATGAGCTACATACTGCTCTTGAGTAAGCTCATGACACTGCATCGGGTGATGACAATATTCATTACCAGCTACTGAAACACTTACCGGAACCATGTCTGATGACACTTTTTGATATATTTGACCAAATATGGACGTCTGGAGAATTTCCTCCTTCATGGCGTAATGCCATTGTAGTCCCAATACCAAAACCTGGCAGGGATCATACTGATCCGTCGAATAACAGACCGATCTCTCTAACTAGCTGTGTTTGTAAAACCATGTAACGTATGGTGAATAATAGATTAACTTGGTATCTTGAAACCAATAACCTTATAACCAATATTCAATGTGGTTTCAGGAAAAATCGCAGTACCATTGATCGTTTGGTACGCTTATAATCCTTTGTTAAAAATGCAATCGTAAAATTAACAACATGCTGTATCAATTTTCTTTGATCTTGAGGAAGCTTATGATACGACCTGGAAGCATGGCATTTTGAAGGATTTACATGATTTCGGTTTGAGAGGCCGTTTGCCTCTTTTTATATCACAGTTTTTAAAAGACAGGCAAATTCAAGTCCGAGTGGGTTCAACCCTGTCTGATCATTACAATCAGGATCAGGGTGTCCCTCAAGGCAGTATTTTGTATGTAACTTTATGTAGTATCAAGATCAACAGTTTATCCAAGGTTTTAAACGATTCAATTGATGGATCACTTTTTGTGGATGAGTTTAATATTTCTTGTCGTGGTAAAAATATGCATACTATTGAACGGCAATTGCATTGTGTTTAAATAAATAAATAAATGGTGTCTTGAAAACGGTTTTAAATTTTCCAAGTCTAAAACAAATTGTCTACACTTTTGTAGAAAATATAAGCCGCATACAGACCCACCACTATCTTTAAATGGCACTCCGATCAAAGTTGTCAAGGAGGCCAAGTTCTTGGGTATGATTTTCGACTCCCATTTAACTTTTTTGCCGCATATTAAATCCCTTAAGGCTAAATGCCTGAAGGCCCTTGATTTGTTGAAAGTTGTTTCCAACTCAAAGTGGGGAGGGGATCAAGCTACCCTCCTCCACCTATATCGATCATTGGTCCGCTCGAAACTTGATTATGGCTCCATCGTATATGGTGGAACCTGCAAAAGCAACTTAAAACTACTTGATTCTGTCCACCACCAAGGCCTAAGACTTTGTCTTGGATCCTTCAGAACCTCTCCTATTGACAGTCTTTTTGTTGAGGCTGATGAGCCATCCCTTAACCAATGTCGTATCAAACTATCATTACAGTACATAACAAAACTCTATTCTAACGAGTCGAATCCTGCGTTTAACTGTGTTTTCAATCCTCTTTATGAGGATTTATACAACAAAAAGTCTTCTCTTGTTCCGCCTCTTGGGCTAAGAATTAAACCATTTATATCTGCTGCCGGCATTGAGCTGGACACTATAGCTTGCTTCCCGTCTTCTTTCTTCTCCTTGACAACTGGTGAGGCCTGAAGTTGACCTAACTCTGACAAAGTTTAAGAAATCTGAAACTAATGAATTACAATATAAACAAGAATATAATCAATTAAAAATGAAATATCATACATACACATCCTTATTTACAGACGGGTCCAAGGATGGTGGCGCGGTGGGATGTGCCACTGTCAATGGATCCAGAAC